ATGATGATGATGAGAAGAATACTTTTGCTGAATATTCTGCAAATTAGATTAGGTTGTTGAGTTATTCTCCTTTTGCAACTGACTCCCTTTTGCAATTTGTTCATAGAACTAAATTGGATTGAATGTATTTCGGTGTTTTAAACTTTTTGAGCTGAAACCATCAGAAACTTCAAGAAAGAATAGGGTAGATTCTTTTCCATGCATCATCCATAGTGCAATCCTTCTCTGCAATACTTTCTCTTATGGGTTCTTTTGCACTTCTTTCCTTAATTCTTCATCCTTTACTATGCCTTTCTCCCCATCCTTTTTCAGTTATATATGCTTTTGTAGTAGTTCCTCCCGATATTTGAACAACAGAAAATTTAGAAGCATATGTTGGACTATCATGTGATGCTGTTGCAATTTTGGTGTTCTGCAGTATGCGGAAACTTTTTTTGGTTAGTGATCTATGCCTTTCTTCCCTTCTCTTTACCTTAATTGGCTTTTTTAACTTTCACAGTATAAATTGAAACTCAGTGCAATGGATTGCAGTTTGAATTTGTGCATCCATCACCCGAGGATTGCACAAACATATTGTTAATAGCTTTGAGTTGGTTTGAATCGTGACGAATGGCTGATTAAGAACACATTGAGAGGTTGAGGAGTTTTTGTAGCATGATTTTTGCATCCATCACACGCGTAATGTCAATGACCTCGCACGAGGACTGCACAAACATACATACATTATTGATAGCTTTGAGTTGGTTTAAATCGTGACGAATAGCTGATTAACAACACATTGACAGGTTGATGAATTTTCGTAGAATGATTTTGAATAACAAATGATTGTTATTTGTAACGAGGCATCCAAGTTAAAGAAACTTGGGAGCTTTGTTGGGTGCTTCGGCCAAAAAAAAGTTTCAAAAAAAGATGTGGATAAAAATATTTTTTTTTTAATTTTTGGTGGATAAAACTAGTTGTCTCGGATTTGCCAAATCCGAATCTATCTATTTTGTACTAGATTCAATTTGGCAAATCCGAATCTACCCAATAGAATTGATTCATCACATATATAGTTATAATACAAGGAGATTCGGATTTGCCAAATCCAAATCTAGTACAAAATGGATAGATTCGGATTTGGCAAATCCGAGACAACTAGATTTGTCCACACCACTCCAGGATATATATTTTTATCCAGGTCCTTCCATTGAAAGTTATTTGGGTAAAAAACTCGAACTTTGTTGGGGCTGCGTACTTTTTTTGCACAACTAAAAATCGAAGGCAATATAAGGTCATTGTTTATTTTTGGGGGTTTTGGAAGAAGTCATGTAACTTTCAATATAATGTTACACAACAAATAGGGAAATATATATACATATAAAATATAATATATATATATATATATACACATGATACACGATAAATAAATGATTTACCAAATTATATTTGATTGTTTCAGCCATTTTCAAGTTTCACTCCCATGATACGGTCACCATTTTCTTCTCTATTCATGAGGTATTCTGTTAACTCTCTCCTGATCTCATTTACCCTCAATAAATTAAAGGTAAAGTGTGTTAAAAGAAAATTTTGGAACAAGACAATTACGAATAATAAAACAAAAATTTAGGAAAGAAAAGTGAACAAAAATGAAAATGACAATTTGTGTAAGAATGATTTTCTTTTTTTTTTTTAAAAAAAAAAAGTTCACAAATTATTTTTAACAAAAGGTGCTTTTGAAAAAAGACCTAATCCAAATGGCTTTTTCATATTTTTAACTACTAAAAGGGTTTTGAAAAATTCTTATCCAAATGCATTATTTTTCAAAATTTATTTTTTCAACTTTTGCTTCAAACAGACTTTTCTGAACAATTTTTCAAAACTCTTGTCCAAATGGAGCCTCAGTCTCTTTTATGATTACTCTTTTCTAAGAACTATTTTATGAAAGGGTTGGAATTGTAAAAACATGTCTTGCTTGAATATCGGGGTCGTACAGTCGACAGAGGCTTAAAATAAATTCTTGTTTGATTACTATACTATTATAAAAGAGCAGTGATAGAGCCAGTGAAAAAATATAGTGACATTTTATAGTGACTGATGTGGACATTGTGATTAAGAATAAAAAATATCGGCAATGATACATCCAGTGATTAAGTATAATGAAAATATATAGTAACAAATGAAAAGACAAATACATCATCCACTTACTAAACATGTCTATTTATTAATTCAGGTAAAAATATAATTTTGAGGAAAAATAAAACTTCAACGGAAAAGCAGCAAAAAACTAGGAGAGCCATAATACTATTCTAAAATATGAGAGTCATAATACTATTTTAACTAAAAAAATGAATACACCTCAATCACTATAACTTTTCACTATATATTTTCACTATCTTTATTATTTTCTATTATAAAATAGATTCTTAATCAAATTTGGACTAGCGAAGCTGGTTAATTAACAGAGAGTTATGAGAATTTGAACTGGGTGTAGACTTTTTTTTTTTTCCTTTTTTTTAGGGCATTCACCATCGTCAATATTGACTAATCTTGCTCGCTCATAATAGGCATCTCGATGGTAGAAGAGCTGACCAAACGATTTGAATTGGGTGTAGAAATTATTTAAAACCTGACAATTACATAAACTTTCTATAATCTAGCTAAAGCCAAAAACAAGACCGTTAAATGATTATACCAACAAATATGTATATATTTACTTGAAATTTTATGATTATTGATGGAAAAGCAAAGGTTTCGTGGGGAAAGAAAAAAAAATTATTTTTTTAAGAGTTTACAGATGGTTTGAACTCCTAGTCTCGTAGTTACAAACTGCCATGGATGGCATCCAAATCTCTCATGTAAATGCAATGTTTTTCAAAATTAAATAATTTAAGTTGTTCAGTATAAACATGTACAAATCAAGAAATTAAGAGAGAATTTATTCAAGTGATTCTCAATTTGTACCTTAGGTAAACTTTATTCTGCTATATCGATGAAATCATATGCGATCTTGTTTCACTATCACTTTGATCTTTTTTTTTTGCTATCTTTGTCACTGACATAATCAACATCTTGGCTAGCTAGTTTCCATAAAACAATTATATTCTTATGCTCCAATCCCAACATCTTTTTTCTCATAAAACATGCATGTTGGACCTTTAGGAATGGATATAGCCGTCCTACTGATATATATTCTTCAAATCATTTTGCAAGGCATATGTCTCAAACTTTTTTGAGCGATTTGAATTCTTACAAGTAACCAATATGATAAACACATGATATCTGCGAAAAAAAAAAAGAGTAGGAAAGATTGTAATAAGCACGTACTTCCAATTGTAAAACGATTATCTTATCTGTTACATATATAAAATTAGTATAAAGACTGCACATAATTATTTTAGGACGAAAAAGTAATTCAAATAAAATTTCTATTGGGTTAGTACTGAGTAGAGGTGTTAGTTTTAAAACAATGAAAGAGGTCCGCAAATCCCTACAACATAGAACGCCGATATGTAACGAGTTAATTTCAAGAGTTTTTTTTTTTTTTTCTGAAAAATAAGTACTTTTACTGTTAAAACCAATACTTTATTGTCAGATTAAGTTAATACCCTTGATGAAAAATGTGCTAATGAAAAATGTGCTAAGGAAAAAAAAATTTAAATTTAATTTACATCATAAAGTAACTTTTACAAGGTATTGAACCCGAGGCCATGCAGTCCTAAAAGTTGGCAAATACACATAATTAAAGACCCCCCCCCAAGAACTGCACGGATTTCCGGCAGAAAGATTTGCTGGAAGGATCTCATGTCTCAATCAGATCATGATGATATCATAACGTCGGTATTAAGAATCCTACAATATAAACACACTTTATCGAATGCGCTTTAAATTGATTTAATCATGTTAACCGTTAAGCGGGACTGCAGGAGCCTTGTTGGAGCAGCGATGGAGAGACCAGTATTGGCGGTTGATCCTTCTCCTATTTCTTTTTAAATATGTTTTCATCTGTAATAAATAATCTTGTTTTGTACATTTCATTTTTACTATAAAAAATTTTAACATCACCATTGTTACGTAAGAATGTGTAGCAAGACACAGTTAAGAAAACTATGTTTATTTTTTCGGGTACAAACTGAACAAACTGATACTTGTATTTCATTGATTTGCGGCACTGGAAAAGACATAAAACGGCTACACTGAATATTTATTTTTTCGCTTTGAAATAGTTAATTTAATTAAGTGTTAATTATGCTTGTGAAACTTAACTAAATCTAATTATTTGGTGGAGCAAGACACATCAAGACATGATCATGATGTTTCATAAATCAACAGCAAATGAACCGGATTAGACCAGCTGATGGAACTTCGTTGGTTACAACTTACAACTGCAAAAGCTATAGCTATAGGCTACAGCCTAAAAGGAATAGAGCAGATCTTTCTTCTTTTTTATCTGTCTTGATTCATGCAAATTGTGCTTTATTAGTTAAATCATCATTTCCATCCGTCTCATTAGTATTAAACCAATGGCGAAACACAAATTCTAAAAACAAGACCACTTATTACTACGAAATGAATAAAGAATTTCGCCTTAATGTAACTATGCCAATTTTTCACAATACATATATAGGTGACACAAATTTTATAAGTCGGGTATATTTTACGGTAAAATTGGAGATTGTAGAATAGAAAAAGACAGAGTATTATATATGTAATTTTTTTGGTTAAGTATTTAACAATTAAATATTAATTAATAATAATGCATGCAATTAAAGTCATTGTAAGAAATTCAGTTATGGAAAAATTGACTTTTTTATTAGGGACACAAAATCTTGTTAAAGTAGGGCCTTTACCACGAGATGGAGGGGGTATGTTTAAACTTAAAATGTACAGATCGTAGTTCTTAAGGTCATTATATGCAATTTAATAAGTAATAAGAAATGTCTATTATTTTTTCCGTTCGAAAATAATAATTTTATGTGTCACACCACAAAATTTCATATGCAATCCTGTAAAGTCAAAGATGACGCTTAAAGATTTTAATTATTAGTCAAGAACATGGATATAGTTGCACATCAACTAATTTAACATACTAAGAATAGCACAAGTAAAATACAAGTAACATAAGAATTTTTTTTCCTTCAATAATTTATGAAATTATAAATCCTCTAAATACAGACTAATCAACACATTCCAATTCTCCCCCTCAAAATTTCCATATTTATTCTTTTGGCTACACAAACTCTTTTTTTTGTCAAAAGAGCAAAAAAACACCCTACTAAATCAATACACAAAACAAAGGGGAGGGGGAAGTAATTTATGAATACTTCTTGGAACAGAATTGTGGGAAAAAAAAAAAAAAGAGGCGGTGGGGTTATTGATGATGAAATTTTGATTGATTGATGAAGAATCAAGTGGCAATGCAGTAAGGCTCCCAAAGCAATAGAGATCTTCTTGATTCATTGCATGATCTCTTCAAAAAAGGGGCCAAATAATCCGCCTTGTTTCCGCCTCTCATGACCACCAGATTTTGTTGCTGTTCATATGCATTCAAACTGTTTGATAAATTGACCTGCTTGGTTTGGTTGTTTTTCAGCTCAGCTGAACAATGGTTTTGTTGTTTCTCTTGTTGATTGGTATTGGCATTAATGGATACTGGTTTGATGATGGTTGCCATTGTGGGCTTACTCTCCCTCCAGAAGTACTCGTAAGCGTTGAAAGAGGCCGCGGCGGCTGAGGTGCCTGACGGCGTGTTTGAGATCACACGCGCCACCACCCGGGGTGGTGCTGGTGGAAGTGATTGAGGTAATGGAGGTGGATGGATTGGTTCATTGTCATCTCCTTCCACTACCATTATCTCCTGATCAACTTCCAACAAGTTGGCCCCTCTGTTGAATCTTGAAGACCAGGAAAGATTCTTTTTTTCTAGCCCCATTATCTTTTTCACCAATATTGTGCTTGTTGGTTTGAACACATTCAGCTTTGATGATGGATTTTCACCCCTCTGATCTGGATATTCCTCTTCTTCTTCCTCTGTTTCGTCCTGATCACGAGGCCAGGAGCTGGCGTCGCGATCATTTTCGCCGTTGATTTCCTCATAATTGTCGAACACCTGCTCATCGCACTCGTCAACTTCATCATCGTCCTCTGAAGTGGGAGGATCATCGACGAAAGAAAGGCGAAGGCGGCCGTGTTCACGATGAGCTTGGAAGTAGTTCTGTGATGGGACAGAGACAGCTTCAAGGACTAATCTACCATTTTGTCGGTGAGATTGCATGTGAACAGAGGCGCCACTGTCGCGAGCCAAGGAAGGAAGAGGCGGAGGGAAGGATCTCGGCCCTGATGCTACTTTCTTAGAGTTGGAGTAACTGTACTTGGCAACCTGAAGATCATCGTACCAATCTGCTGGAAATTGCTGTTGTTGATGATGATGAATCTGTTCCTGATGTTCTTTTTCATCCTCCACATCTCCAACTTCAGAAGGAGGGTAGGATGAAAAGCCATCAGAACCAGTCTCTGATCCAAGGCTTTCAGTGCAGATTTCAAGGCTTTTCTCACTCAATCCGCTAGTTGATCTTCTCATCAGGGGTGGAATGTAAGGAGGTGGAAGTTTGGATGAATTCTGTTCATTCCTTTTCTCGAAAAGGATTGAACCCCATGTCCACTTGTCATCAGCATCTGCCTTTTTCTGTGCTTGAATTGACCTCCACACTTCATCCTGTCCAGGATGCCCTTTGAACTGATGGTCTTGATCATCCTCCATAAGGATCAACCCGGACGACGATGAATTGACTGCCAGCAGCTCCTCTGATGAAGCAATCCTTTTCATGGGGCTTACTTTGTTGTTGTTGTTGTTGCTGCTGTTGAAGCCATTTTGGGCTAACCATTTCTTTGAAGACATATCAGCTGACAGAGTCCTTCTCAATGAAGCAGCTGATGATTTGCTTGATTCAGAGTCTGATCCAAGAATGGATACTATGCCTTGCTTCTGTGAAGATGACTCTTCTTCAAGCTTTATAGGAGAAGGAGAAGAAGAAGATGAGGCAAATTGCAAGTGGTTGCTCTTGCTCATCATCATCACACAAGTGGACATTTTCACAGACTTGAAAAGAGAAGAATTAAGATCCCAACAATTTTTTCCCTCTGCACAAAAAAGGTTGGTGAAAATTTCATTAGTGAAAAAGAACAAAATCCCAAGTTACAAAGCAAGGTAAGGTGTCCCAAGAAAGTTCCATTGAAACCATGCATGCATGTTAGAGTGATAGTTTATAAACAATAATTGAACCAATTGAATTATTTAAGTGTCACAGAAGAGTGAGGTGTGTGTTTGTCTGTATGTCTGTGTGTGACTGTGTGTGTGTGTGTTTTTTTTTTGTGTGGCAAAATTAATGCAATGAATTAAGACAAATGAAGTAAAAAAAAACACAATACCTCTCAAGGAAACAACAGCATCCAAATTAACAGATGAGATTGAAGAAACCTTCTGAAAGGCAAAAAAAAAAAAAAGAGATGGGAAAGAATGGGAAAAAAATTGTTGAAAGGATTATGAAGATGATGTTTGAGGTGTTTTTTCAGGCTTGATGGCATATAACAAAGGGGAGGGGGATTGTCAGGTATTTGTAGAAGCCCAAAATGCCTAATATGGGACCCCTATGACACTCATGAAAAGACATTTTTAGTTCTTTCCTATAAATTTTTTAATTTTTTTTTCTAATGTGGTAATTGGACTGAAATGGCAAACAACTAAGCAAATAATGCTTAAGAGAACATCATTCCCAACACTTTGTTAATTAGGCATCTCATACCACTCTCGTCCGTACATAAGTCAATTAACAAATTTAAGTTAAGCTTGGTGTGTTTTTTTTTTTTTTTTTTGGTGCATCAATGAAGGGTGATTTAGTGAATAAGTTGAAGAATATAAGTCTATCTCTTATTATCAACTCTCTGAGGGTAAATAGCTACGTATCGAATCTTACATTGGTCACATTGAATAATATGGAGTTAACTTTGTAGGTTTGGTTCAAAGGATTAACACATATTTAAGCACCTAATATGGAGATCGATCAAGTAATTTACTAATAGGATCAATATCGTTTTTTTTGTTTTTGTGAATTTTATTTTATTTTTGCTAAAATATTTCTTAATTGTTTTTTCGTTTTCTTTGCTTTTCATCCCAATAATGGTTGTACTCACCATATAAATTTACTTAAGTAGTACCAGAAATGAGAAACTAGATATGGTCAAGTGAGTGAGTGTTTACATTTGTCATATTCATTATTTACTTGTTTTAGGAGTATGCTTCCTAGATGGTCAATTGTTACAAGTAACTGATGATCAAAACAATGTTTATGATTGTTCTAGAAGAAATAAAACATAAGATATGACAGTTTAACTTGCACAATTTTATTTTATGAAAGGTTTTTTTAATTAATATTAGATAGTATAGATCGATATGAGTAACATGAACAGTCACGTAATAAAATCAGTAATTGTTGATATCTCCTAACTCGGGTCTTTCTTCCATAAACGGAGCGCTGGGCATAGAACTGAATCTGTATATCTCCCAAAATGAACAAAAAAGTCCAAAAAAAAATGACAAAATTTGATAGCTAAATGAAGACTTGGTTGGCTGGTTAAATTGACACTTGTGATTGTGAGATGTATGGTAAACTCTCCTCTTCCCTTTGAAATAAACTAATTCCGGTCCGGTGGTTGTGGTTTAAAAGCTCTGGAAAATAGTATTTTCCAACTTCCCTTCGAAGCAAAATTGTTGAACGTTGGAAAGCAAACCTAGGTGGACGAACAAGAAAACGTACATTTTTTTTTTCTTCTTTTCGTTTTTTGGTAATTAATTAAACAAAGAAAACATACAATTTGAAAACACCGAATTCAAACACACGTCTTAGTAGCACAAGAGTAAGAATTAGGATCGACATTGGTTTAATTGCTGCTCTTTTCATCTGTAAAGTATTTTTCTCCGTCTCAATAAAACAGTTCATATTATAAATTGTACTGTTTTAGTCTCCGCACTAAGAACAAGTGCCTGTTGTTAAATTGGAGGTCATAAAATGAAAATTCAAAATAAAAATAAAACTGAGATTTATTATGAGGAGAACATTGTTTTTTTTCAGAGCAATATATACACAATTAATTAGGCAAAACAGCGAAAAGACGCCCGATGATTATTTGAAAATGGCTTAAGAGTGAAGCAAAGGGAATCACTTTCAAGAGACCACCATGATTGGGCGGCCGAAAATCCATCATCCACAACTGGAAACACAAAAAGGAATCAACCGTCACCCCTTTTTATTTATCATATTTTTCATTCTATTCATCTCCAGAAAATAGTTTAATTCTTCGTCATATATATATATATATATTTTTGCACTTTTATGTTTTTCTTTCTGTAACATTTTTTAAAATTACTTTCATCTATGTAACTGTGTAAGATACTCCTTCCGTCCCATAATTATTGTCTAATTTGAGCTTTCATTTCTAGTTCAAATTGTACTAAAAGTGATATATTAAACTGCACAATAATTTTAGGACAGGGGAAATAGTATTTATAGTTTGAAAAATTCAGGGTGAATGGTGACTTTTGATTTTACATGTTATAAATATATGAAGAGATAATTAAATTATAGGCATCATTAAAACTTCATATATGGATAAGTAAAACTTCATTTACTTTGCGAGACTAAGAACGAACAGGTACGTAATTGAAGTAGGCATGGACCCACACGTCTTGCTATGGGACCTTGAAAAGAATAATTATTGTCTTCTAACATTTTTTTCATTATTCTTTTGTCTGGTCGGAAAGAGTCGTACCAAATACAAAGTACGTACATAGTAAAATGTGTGTAACATGAGAAGGTGACATAAATACGTACTTCAATCGTACCTCCCAAAAAGTTTGTGATGTTGATTATTTTCAGTTCCATTCTGAAAATATTCTAATCCTCCCATCTCAAAAATATAATAATCTTTTTTTTTATGAGGTTTTACCCTGTCTAACTTAGTTTTGTATATGTTTTATTATTAGTGAAATTAACTTTGTGACAAAAGAGAATATTTATTATAACATTTTCCTTTGCAAAATTGTCACAACTCAACTCGTCAAACAAAAGTATCAAAATTTTAAAAACAAATACAGTAAAACCTCTCCAAATTAATCCTCTATAAATTTATAATCTCTATTAAATGATAATTTTTGCCGGTCTCAACTCAGGACTAGCACAAAAAATAAAAAAAATTTGATTAATTTTATAAGATAATAAATTTTCAAGAATCCCTTATGTAAATATAAGTCACCACATTTTCATAAATTAATAATTACTTAAACAAAAACTCATAGTTTTTAGTAAAATATGAATATATTGATCTTTGTTTTTTCTTAAAATTTACATCTATAGAGATATCATCTTTGATCTTTCCCATTACATTCAAAAGTTCCAGTATTGCTTTGTCATACTGCAACAAATAATTATGAAGAGTTGATGTTGCCTTTGGCGATTCTTTTTTGGAGATTCAAAATTTACAGCCACACAAAAAGAACACTAATACCGTATTAATAAAGTTAGAAGTCAATATTTATAATCGACTTTTCTTTTCTTCTTGGCAAAGATTATTCCCTATTAAGATTGAAAAACTCTTTAAATTAATAATTATTAATTTATCGATAAATTAATAACTCGATAAATTAATAAATTTTGGGGAGTTCAAGGATATTAATTTAGAGAGGTTTTACTGTAGTCATAAGAATTAGACATGAACTTGTCACTTAGGACTTATCGATGGTAATTCTTTTTCTATCGTCATTTGTATATCATCGTAACAAGTGCGAGGGAGCCCATTTCTGACGAGTTCTTGATATTATCCCATAAAATTATTAGTCATAATAATGTGGAGTAGATTTTTTCTTCTTTTCGTCGAACAAAATAAAATTCTAATTCTAAGACAGAAAGAGTAAGTTTTAATTGTTGCAATTTTATGTATACATGCGTCCACTAGTTTTGATTTGGCAAAGTCGAGGAAGACCAAGAAAAAAGCAGGATGCTCGCACACTTGGTCTATATAGTGTATAGTGTATACAAAGCATTACCACCCAACTCTTTCAGTCTTATCTATTTCTCTATCTTCATCGATTTTCCCTAAATTCTGATTTTATCTTCAATTTACTGAAATGGTTCTTGCACATTACGATAGAGTGGAATTGTTCATCTTGTTACTTTATGAATGACGTTATTTCTAACTTAGATTATATGAAATTCTCATGGCTATACATCAAGTACTGTTTGAATCTAAAATTTACATCCAAATCATAGAAGGAGTGGAACAAAAGAGCAAATTCTGATGCAGTAAATATAAAATACTAGTTTTTTTGTACGAACTTTCGATACCTATACTAATTTTTTTTAGGTCAATCAGAATGATATTTAGTGGAATTGATACATGTTATTGTTTGGTAGTTAATGACAGTCATACGCACAAGATTATTCACATTTAGTTTCGTATTATACTCTTTGTGATATTTTACTATTAAGGGTGAACTGCAACGGAAGTAACTATACTATGCTAAAGTCTCATTCTAGGTAACTCGATTAATTTAATTCCGAAATAAGTAACTCAATTAACAAAAAAAGTGACAAAATAAAGTAATTCTCCTTAAAATTTTGCAGTTAGGCTAACAGAACAAAAAACATGTGCTTTACAAGTGAGTTCTGGGTGGGGGTACAACTTTGGCGGGATTTTTGGTAAATATATAGCATCATTTGCCTCCGAGTTATAGACATAACATATTGGGTGTTCATAAATAAATCTAATGTCACTGCAAAATTCAAGAAACGGTGTGGGTTGCCGACCGCTTATTCTTCTGGAATAGTTACTGGATGATAAAGATTAACGATGGAAGAACTGGATGGAAATCCAATATATAGTCACAAAAGAATATTTTGTATCACATTTCGTAAAATATTTGATGTAAACGTTGGTAAATCTAAAAAGGTACTGAGCAATCACTTATCTTTTAAGTTTCTTCAGTTACATAGTAGAGTTAGTTTAATCATCAAATTCAATGAAAGATCGATTAATTAATATTATCGACAGTAACGATACTCTGCAAATATGTGGGAAAAAAAATACTTAACATATAGTTTCATCGCTACGCATCGTGTATGATATTACGGGAACAAAATACAGACTTGCGATTACGCTCAAACTGGATTTTGGTCGGTATATTGTCATTTAGATTTTCATTTCCTCACATTCTTAAGATTTTCTGAAAATAATGTAATGCTCTCCAACGAAATTTTAACATAATCGTATGATCACTCATTCTTAACTTCTATCTTGCTCTACCTTTTCAGCCAATTGAACAATAAATTAAAATAACGTAATGATCAATTTGCATGGAATGAGAATTGATGATGTTACTGATTATCCAATTAATTAATTTCTAAAAAAAGACAGAATCCAACCTTATAAGATAACATAGTATGCCTATCGATCGAAGTCAAACAACTATAAATGTAATAGCTTGAGCTTTTAACAAATAATGGATGGCGTATTTCTAAAGAGAATGCTACCTTTCAATTAAACAAATATTACAGCATTCTTTTTTTTTAAGGAGTATCAAAGTATGTTCCAAATGTCATTTATTCCCTACTTAATACCATAATATATGTTCCTTTTCATTTTAGTCAACTCATTTGATGATACGATAGAACATTTTTCTTTTTTTAACTGAGTAAAAAGTAGATTATATTGCTGTGACGCATGATATTGTTAAACACCCGAAATTTGGACTGAATCATATATCAATTAATTCAGGGAAGAAATTGATAGAATTTTAAGGAGAGAAAAAATAAAAATTTCTTTTCTTTTCTAAGTATGTGAATACTAACATGCTATCAAAAATTAAAAATGAAATTTGTTTGCTACGTTCACCATTTCCATAAATTAAGATGAAATTTTCTACTAGAAGCTAAGTGGGAATTAAATAAATATCTTTTCTCTCGTATATCGGCGCATAAAGAAAAATACCGTCTCCTCAAATAAAATTGCATGAAATGATTCCAAGTTGACTCTGTAATTTTCGTACATTTTAATACCCGGTTAATGCCATCATGAAAGAATCATTTAACGCAGCTTTAGTTTTTTGGAAGAAAAATTTGTGCGCAGTGACATTTAAAACCCAAAGGTACACGACTTTACTCCATAGTGGATTCCTCTAATATTGTACTGCCTCTGTTCTAAAATTATTATCCAGTTTGATATTTTATTTTTAGTACAATTTAAACTAAAAATAAAAATTCAAACTGGATAATAATTATGGGATGGAGGGAGTATCTGTTTTCCTCTTATGCTGTGGTATATTATTAGTAGTTTTTCCTCAAATGAA